AGACACTTATTGTTAATTCTACTTTTCAGGCGTAAAGGTAGACTATTTAGTTTTAAGGCATATGATTAAAATCATTAAAACCAGACGTCAATATTTATTATTATAATCGCTAGCACAGATTAAGTGTATACTTGATTCGGTTGTCCTGTTGTGTACTTGTAAAGGTACACACGAATATAATTCTGATAAATGGAAAATCTCTTGAGCTTCTCTATCAAAAATATCAAAAACTTCATATATTTTTAGGTAAATTTCGTAGGTTAAATCCACAAGTGGCCTTTATTTACTTATAAATTGTTTTATATTCCTTTTTGTTGAAACGGTTTTATAGCAAGAGATTTTTATCAAGTAAAGTGTAACAAATAATGACATGAAATTTTTAATAGATGTGCCTATCATTAAAGATTCAAATCCTTGCCATCCTTGTCCGATTTTTATATAGTTACCTGACTTACTCTAAATCTCTTCCCCAATGCGAATAAAATGGATTTCTCTCTCTAGCTTATGATTTTTATAATCATCTCTGAGAAGTGTGGTAACATAAAGGGCTTGAAAATATATATCTCAGGGACTCAGGGGCTCAATAATTACATGAAACGAAGATTAGTAACCAAACTACTTTACGCCTCTTTAGGTATTGACTAAAGTCACCACGGAAGTAATGGCAAGAGGTCTGTACAATTCTATTTATCCTTTTTGTTGTCTATCCTTATGTTCTCTATATATATATTGCTTTAAGAGATTTAATGAGCTCAACATTATAAGATTGGATAACATGAACGATAAGTAACGCAAAAGTCGACTTAAGCTGCTTTAGTCATCTTATTGTTTTTCCTTCTCCTTATAATATTTCTTAAGATTTGAGTTTGATTTGTTCTTGTAAAGGATCCTTTTTTCATTTTTAATCATTTTCTTAACGTTCTTAAGTGCATGACTTTTCATAATTTAAGGGTGTTAACGTAAGTGTCTGTAAGTACATTATTTTTTCTAACGATCGAGACAGGTCTCCGTACATTGAATAATAAGTAAAAACGTATTGACTATTAGTAAGCCATATATCATTTTAAAGATTAAAAACAAGAACAAGAAATATAATTATATATTTATTTTTGGTCTTTTTTCTTCAAGTTCTCATTAATAATGAGTTAAATTTTTACCTACAAATCAAAATTCTTGTTAATTTTGAAAACCTTCATAAATATTATATGTAAATAAAATATTTGTTTAATATGCAAAAGTAAAGAATTCATCCTGTCACTCTGTTAAGAATTTAAACTTTTAGCAAACAGTGATAGCATAATTCTTACGAAGACAATGTCGAGTTCTATTTGGAATTAATTTTAAATTTCTAAAGGAAAGAAATCAAGCCAAAGATATTCAGTTTTCTAATATTTCGATTTACGATATATGAAGAACACCAGCTAGCACGCACCATGTCTAAAATGTAACGCGTCCAGACAGGATGGAGCACGGAGCGCCTTACGTCTACAATGTCTTCCGAAATTTACGAGAGAAAACTGATCAAACAGCAATTACTGACTGCTTGGCTTCTATATGAAAGCAAATAAATTGATAGATATATAGAGATAACAACTCTTTGCAACATTCGGACAACTTTGGTGTATAATAAATTCGTCACTCAATCCATTTGTAGGATGATAAATAGATTTCGACACTTTTGATGAACTTATATAATTTTTAGACAGTATCAATCTTCCAACGATATGTGTCAAAAGTTCATCACATTCCAACCATCAGTTACGGTTGACGTAGTGACATTACCTCGGCAATCCTCTCCAATCAAATATGCATAAGGTTTCCTACCTTAATGGAGGTGACTTCAAAAGCTTTTGATAAATGAAATCTAAAAACTAACTATTAAAAGGCACGAATTCATTTACTACGCAATGAACCATTTTGCTTGCCCACAACAAATTCAAATGACAGGCAACTTTTTTTCGAAAATCTTCTTTTCTGATGAAAATCATTTTTTCTTCAATAGCTGTGCTAATAAGGCAAACATAGTAATAGTTGTCATCGGGAAGAACTAGACATCGCCATGTTAGTCATGGATCATTCTTTAACGATGAATGTTTGATGACGGTTAGTAGCATCATTGCCGTAGTTTTGTTTGAAGATGGCTTTTAATGAAGAACACTGGGTTTTTATAGGCGAATTGAAAATGTAAACAAATTTTGCTCGACACTTCATGTAAATCGTGCGACAATATATTTATTGCGATCCAAGTTTGACGAAAGAGAAACTCAAATATTGCTTAGGATTTTGTACGTTTTGGGAAGTGAAGTGTATACAAGCAACTCGTAAATAATCTATGATACAAAACCCGATATTTATCGCGGAGTTGAAAAATATTTCAACCTTAAACGTTAAAGTTAAAAAAGGATTTTAACATTTATACACTGGAAACTAGCCTTGATGAGCATACAAATTACATCCTTTTCCATATGTAAACAGCATAGTATCAACTTATACTGTAAATGAAAAACTATTGTTTCCCCAACATAAAATAGGTTTTTTATTCAAATTTAAAAAAAAAAGAGTCTCTTTTCTTATATAATCGCCACAAATAGTAAAGGAATGACCTGGTGAAGATAATCGCTAACTCTATTATAAGAAACGATGTTTCGAATATTTTACTCACTTATTGTTGCAACTTCGCCAGCTCCTAACTTCACAAGCTATACGTGCGATTTCTTCATTTCACAAATTCCTCAGAAATCCATTGCGTTAATACTTAGATCTTCATGATAAATTTCCCTCAAAGAACCAAATCCTAGTTCATATTAACGAAGTGACGCTCGAAAATCAGTTACAATCCTGTAAATGATTTTTTAAGCAAGAAGTAAAAATAAAATGAAATTTAAAACAAAAATTTCGTTAACTTAGGCTGTTAGCAGGTGCTAAGACCAGTCAGTTGGGATAAAATCTTAGAGTGGGTATTGAAAATTTTTCCAACTATCTCTAGGGGATTTCACTAAAAGCTGAGTATGTCACACTCAATTATTTAATTCTTTATTATAGAAACTTAGGTTATAAATTGATTTTTGAACAAGTAATTAAATTTATGTTTAGTTTTTTAAAAACACATATACATATGCACACATACACTTAATTAATTCAACTCTAACTATTGTGAAAGAGCAAAAAACATTTGCATAGAATGCGAAAAAATAAAAAAAAATGTTTTTTTTTTTTTTTTTGCTTTCCAATAAGCTAAACTATAAACTCATTTTTCGATTTGTTAAATATTGTGATCAATTTTATTTATTTATTTATTTTGTATTATTATTATTATTTTTTTTTTCTTTTTTTTTTGTTAACACTTATAAATATTAATTTTTCGCCATAGCGAAGAAATTAATATTCTACTGTTGACTAAATTTTTGTTTTCATTATAATTAAGCGTTTGGCAAAAAAATTTGCATAATTCGTTTAAGATATGATACATTGACCCCTTTTTTAGTTAAATTTTTTATTTTTTTTTTATTTTTTTTTATTTTCTAAGAAAGTTCATTTACTTTAGTTTGATCAGTGGTATAATTAACAATAGACGAAGGTTTTTAGATAAATATTTTTCGTTTTCTATAATAAACTTTTAAAGTTTTATTTTAAAAAATTATAATTATATTTAGTTTCTCTTCCAATCAAAATTAATTGATTTTAATTTTTTATATTTTTATGTCCAAAGGCGAAATGTGTTATAGTACAGTTAACACTGGATTTTCAACAAGCCGTCAGTTTTAAGCTTAGATATTTTGCATAACGAAGTAGATGTCTTCAGATGTTATATATTGATTTTTAATGAATGATATAACGCAGCAAATATTCATAGAGAATATTTCTTTTCTTTTTTTTTGGAAAACTCCTTTTTTTATTATTCCTATATATTGTATACAAGTTTGTATGAAAGCCCGTCAATTTGATGGGGAAATTCTGTGATTTGTCGCGCTCACAAAAATGTACATAGGCACTTGAAATTTCACGCAAGTTTTACTTGATCGATTAAGTATATAAGATTAAAAAAGAAATGGAATCTGCCCACTTATACAATTAAAATGCAAAAGATACTGAAACAATCTCAGAAAAACATTATTATCTTTATACTCACCACTGTGAGACCATTTGTTTTACCCCTAACGTATGTAGCACCCAAAGAAAGCTTCAGAGATCCTATAATATTCTTGATCAGCGTGAAATTCAGAGTTGATTTAGCCATGACTGTCCGTCCGTGTGTCTGTGTGGTGTGTGTTATTGGTATTCACCTAGTGGCGAAAATTAAGATATCGATTTCAAATTTGGTAGACACATTACATTGGAAGTTTCTCCACGCAGGTTGCTTTTGCAAATAGGCTAAATCGATCAGAGGAGAATCGCGTAGTGGAGCATAAATTGAATACAACTCCGTTTGTCTTAACAAAAATTTGTGGGTTTTCCGGTCCGAATGTTTGTTGTTGAAGCTTACACCTGAAATGAAACTTTTACACTGCTTGTGTACGATCACCTCCAAACACCCTTAGAAACAGTAAAAAATTGCAATTTATTATTTAGGCCGAAATTCATTTCAAACATGGATGCATTATTTCCAAGAAACACTTGAAAGTCTAGTGCAATTCGATTACGTATTTTCCGCTTCAACTTCCAGATTAGCTTTAAAATTTCATTTTGATCTGTTAAACACATACATTGATAATAGCTAAAAATTCGAAAAAGTTAGTAAGAAAAGGCAAAAAGAAAATTATGAAACATTGTTGTGTTAATGACTGGTTATCTCCAGCAGATGAAGTCGTTTGAAAGCTTGACGTAAAAGCTACGCGCATCAACTTGCTGCCACTACATAGTATTAATATTTATATCTGTGCATTTATTTGCTACTGATGGCGATGGGCATTGGATATTCGTCCTTAGATGAATATAAGTTCCTTAGTTGTTTCTTTACTGAAGAAATTCTTTACCATTTTTTTTTTTTTTCTTCTTTGCAGTTTTCATAGCTGTAAAAGGCTATTTTGGCATTTGTTGTTGCTTTTTTCATTTTGGTTGAAATAAACAAGAAGCAAGATTTTTGGCAAGTAAGTTTGTTTTGAATATTATATTTAGATGAAGTTTGAAAATTAATTTGTGATTCATTCTAAAAAAGGATTAATTTTCACTTGTTATTTTAAATCAATTTTGAAAACATTTTGCGTAGCATAATAACATATGTTTACATTCATAGCGTTGCTGTAAAAAGGGGAATTAAGTGTAGACGTGTATATAAATAAACAATGTAAAGAAAAATATACAAGATTCATGAGAAAACAAAACAGATAAAAATGATATTAATGACAATACTATGAGAGAGATTTCATTCTACTAAAGACAAATTTCCAATACATCATTAGGAATTAATTTATGTCCAATAAACATTATATAATAACAGACATACGCACTTACATGCATAAAAGGCTCGGTCAGTGAATGAAAATCTTTGCCAGCATTCTATAATGAGCTTAGGATCTTATAATGATTTCTACAAAAACTTTTCTAATCAGAACTGATATCAATGTACAACTGATATCGAAAATGTGTCGCATGTATCTGATACCCATAAATAATCAATTATTTGCAAAAAGATGTATCTTAACTTTATTAAGTCAAAAATCAGTATTCTTTTAGAGATTTCGGTGAACCTGTAGTCTGTGTAGAAAATATTCTAAAAAGTAATATTTGTTTTACAACGCCGCGTAAAGTCCGACGATCCGATTTGTCACGGCGTACTTTCTCATTTTCATAGGGGACTTAATGGAACGGTGGCAACAACGAAAGTTTGTATTGAGGTTGCTACTGATGATGAGAGATGTGGGGTTTCTTAGCGATATTATTATCGGACCTGAAGAATGGATTCCATATGAGCGGGATTTACACAATGGCTTTCCCTAAATCCAAATGAAAGATTAACTCGGAAATCCAGTTAATCAAGGGAATACCCTGAGCCATATTTTGCTTCACGGTTTCCTCTGACACGGAGATGGAAAATTTGTCGGAAAGTTAGCAAGCTTTACTTGATAATGATAATGACGGTATTATAAAGATTGTTTACAGACTTGACCTACAGCAGCCGTCTTTTGGTTTCTAATGGCGCTCTAGTTAGACATATGGATAAGTCTTCTCTTAATGATTATTCGCTTTAGTGCAGTCCAATGCATATTTTATATTTCTTTGTTTTCAAATCCTATAACTGCAAAAACCAGAGCGAGAACATCATGTCCTGCTATCGTTTGCATAGAGTATTAGTTACTGGTCTAAGACTTACGTTCGTAGACATATTAATTAACCAATGCCAGACAAAAGCATAACGAAGATCAAAATCAGTTTTAGGAAAATTTAAGAACCAATATTAACTCGTGAGTAGGATGTTCAAGATTTTCAGCTTATAAAATATAAAGAACTCCAACTAACACATATGTCTAATAAGCAACCTGCCTGAGTCATAGTGAAGCAATTATAGAATTATTATAGAACAGAGTGCACTAACGGTCTATGTCCACAGTGCCTACTAAAATTTAGATAGAAAGTTTAAAAAAAATTACTAGCCATTAAAACGCGTCAATTCGTTTTTTGCTCCACAACTCCTTGCGTTTGTCGCCAACAAATGGAAACGAAGTGATCACTAGCAACTACTGATCACTAGCAACTACGATTAGCGGCTCTTTCTTTTCCAAAAATGATGGTTGATCCAGTCGCTTTAATCAAGTTGAATATTTTATTGGTATTGCGTTCTTTACACACTCCACGCTCGTAACTTTAGCAAGTTGTTAGACCTTTTACGTAACAACAAATTCGAACTTACTGGGCTTAAGAGACTGTCAGAATAAATAACTGCACTTTATTTCGGGAAGAAGCAAATCAAGCAAAGTGTGATCAAACGACGATCTAAAGAGCCATCTTTTAAATGTCTACAGTTTTCTGGGCCAGAGTTGATTTTTCTGTTACAGCAGTTACTTACGTACGTATGTATATAATACTTTTGGGAAAAAAAAGAAAGACTAAATTATTCGATATATCTAAGAAATATTTGCTTATTACTAAGTACGCTCTTATTAGATAGGCGAGATCTGTATAATCATTGCGAATTTTATCCGATATTTAGAGATAGGTTAGCCTGTAGGTAAGGTTCTTACCTTTTTGCATTCGAAATATTACCGCCTTTTCTACCAGCGGTCCTACGAAGCGATATGAGATGCGTTGCATTCGTAACTAAATACAATCTGCAGTGATCGGGAGTATTATACACTGGCTAAGTGGAGAAGTTTAACTAATTGCACCTAGTTCATGATATTGCTGCACTTAACCCTCAATGTCAACACATATGCACTGGCTGAGTAAATTTTTGTAAACTTTTGTGAACGTTCGCTTGTATGGAGGCTGCATATATGCAGCATGTGAACGTTTCGTTAATTCGAATTTATGAAATAATTTCAAACTTTGTGTCACACTATAAGATAGGAAGTTTTCAACAAATTGAATCCAAAACTTGCTCTAATCGGATGTACACGTACACAAGCTTACGCTTTTACAATATAATGTCTGTTTATTGAAAGGTTTCAATAGCATACAAGAGTAATTAATCTCACCTGTAATATAAATAAATGAAAAGATTTGCTTCATATTAAATTAATTCTATTTTTTTTTTTTTTTAATTTAAATTTATTAATAGATTCATTTGCATGTGTCCAAGCTATTGTATATAATCTTATTGCAAATTATATTATTTTAGGCAAATGTAAGAATATAAAGAAATGTTTTTTTTTTTTTTTTTTCTTATGAAATTATTATCTAAATATCAATTTACACGTTTATATTTATGTATTGATAAATAAACATAAATCGAATCTCTTTATTTATCTTTATTTCATGTATATATGTTCACATCTAATAGTTACTCTCAAGAGATTTTTCGTAAAATTGCATATTAATAGTAAATATTATGATCATAATTGTAAACAATTAATATAATATTTTATTATAGATATGATTTATTTGTATTTACAACTTAATGAAACGGTTTCCAATTCCAAAAAATTCGTAAATAGACATAAATTTGAAATCAAAGAATATTAAAACAAAAGATAAAACGATGAGAAAATTAAATACCGCACCACCACAACCGCATTTGTCATTCGATTAAGCAAAAGACCATAGGCAGTATTCTTGATCACAACCAGCTATAGCATACTGCATGTGTGCTTTTAAACGCACAAAGATATTATTGGCAAGTGGGTTTAGCTGCTCACGGACGATTTGCTTCTATCAACTTTGGACAATGATTCATTCTCAAGGTGGCATCAGTGCAAAAGAATCGCCACTTTGATGGCCACAGAGTGACAAATCGATCACAACATACGCTAAGACTAAATATTTACATAATAAATGATTTTTGTGTGTAATTATTGTTTTAATTAAAATTTATGTGGATATGTGCTACACCCAGAGTGACTTGAGATAGATCCATCTTTTACTAAACCAATCGATTCGGTACCATTTTTTTAAATTGATTTAAGCCTGTCTGTCCGTCTGTCCATCTTGTTTCGAGATAGTTCGACAAGTTATGATAAAATTTAGTACACCGATATGTTCTAGTCAAAGGACGAACGCTATTGAAAATGGCTGGAATCGGACCGCTCTTCGACCACTTTCCAAAACCCCAACTTTTTTGTAAAGACGTTGTATGAACCACTGTGCAGTGGCGTGCTATAGTGGTTTTATTTGCTATTGTATTAAGTTTGTTTGAAATTAACTCAATAGAACCTAACTCTAAAATGCTATAGCATTCATGCCGGCAATCGTGGTAAAGAGTATGATTGCTCGGTTGAGGAACCAGCTGCTTTCGCCTGAAATTTTTCGTTAATATTCAATGCAATTCTTATCTTCTTTATATGCTTGGAATTTCTCTTGATGTTTGACTTAACAAGAAAATGAATTTATGATGTCTATGCTTATCAAAAAATCGTCATTAAAAACCTTGCACTATATGTACGATGAGTAAATGCGAACAAGTCGATTGCCGTCAAAAAGGGATAGCGATCAGACTTTGAATGATATTTTAAAACCAGAACGAAATCGCACGCATGCCCACGATCGTACGCGACCGGTGTTTTATTTATCTCTTACTTACAAAAAGCTTTTATTTTTTACGTGAAACCTCGTTCCAATATGAACAAAAAACAATATCAATTCCTTATGGTCCCGCTAAAAAGGGTCAATTATTCAAAGTATATATCAAATTAAAAAAAAAGCGAATCTAGCTAATCAATGAGAAAGAGTGAGAGAAAGAAAGAGAAAGAGAGAGAGAGAGAGAGAGAGAGAGAGAGAGAGAGAGAGAGAGAGA